AGGAAAGCCTTTTACGGCAACTAGATTGGACATAGTGGCCGCCCAAAGCCAGCAAAATCAGCAAATTTCCGAGATTTGACCACTTTTTGACCAACTTGGTCGGAAAATCGTTGCGGTCAAAGCCAAAATCGTTGTGGTCAACGTCTTCCCGATACAGGGCATGAAAGAGTAGGGTCTTAAGAAAACTAGGACGCCGAGGGAGGCCTTTTACGGCAACTAGATTGGACACAGTGGCCGCCCAAAGTCAGCAAAATCAGCAAATTTCCGAGATTTGACCACTTTTTGACCACCTTGGTCGGAAAATCGTTGCGGTCAAAGCCAAAATCGTTGTGGTCAACGTCTTCCCGATACAGGGCATTAAAGAGTAGGGTCTTAAGAATACTAGGACGTTGAGGGAGGCCATTTAAGGCGACTAGATTGGACACAGTGGCCACCCAAAGTCAGCAAAATCAGCAAATTTCCGAGATTCGACCACTTTTGGACCAACTTGGTCGGAAAATCGTTGCGGTCAAAGCCAAAATCGTTGTGGTCAACGTCTTTCCGATACAGGGCATGAAAGAGTAGGGTCTTAAGAATACTAGGACGTTGAGGGAGGCCATTTAAGGCGACTAGATTGGACACAGTGGCCACCCAAAGTCAGCAAAATCAGCAAATTTCCGAGATTCGACCACTTTTTGACCAACTTGGTCGGAAAATCGTTGCGGTCAAAGCCAAAATCGTTGTGGTCAACGTCTTTCCGATGCAGGGCATGAAAGAGTAGGGTCTTAAGAATACTAGGACGTCGAGGGAGGCCTTTTACGGCGACTAGATTGGACAACAGTAGCCACCCAAAGTCAGCTTCGGAGAGCAATCCATTGGTGGGGTCACACGTTCGGTTCGAGTCCTGTTTAGCGACTCTGCAGCTCAAAACACGTCTAGAGTTTTGGCCGCCTGCACCGGTCTTCTGGCACACTGTGGGCCGCCCCAGTCGGGCCACTTTCCAAACGAAGCCGTCACCGCGCCGACCCACCACACCCACGCCCGGTGTCCCTTACCGCAATATTGTCCCCGTGCGGCTCAGCACGAGGCTCTACACGAGGGCCTCTGGGTCCACCGGGGCCTCCACGACGATGGCGCTGCCAGATCGCTGCCCGGCTCCACCCTTACAACCATTCGCTCATTATATTCGGTTTCGACCCCCCACGGGCCCTACCGGCCCTACCGGCCCTACCGGCCCTACCGGCGAGTCGGAGTCCCCACCGGACTCGGGCATGATGAGCCCTTGGGGCCGGCGAGGCCGGCGAGGCCGGGCGGGGCACACTGCTACGGCCCCGGTCGCCCCAATCCACTCTGGAAAACAATCAGCAGGGCGGCACGCGGTGCGCCACGCCACGCCATGCCGGCCGAGGCCGTGTAGTGGCGCTAACCGCACAAATGAGCAGGGTGGTGGCCGATTACGCCGCCGGATTATAAACCTCTGCTTCGGTCCAGGCCAGCCGAGGCTAGCCGAGGCCTTCGGGGTGGGGGTGGGGGAACCCCTCCCGGAATACACCCAGCGAATTCACGCCCTCGGTGACATGCAATATAATTATTGCCGAGGCCGCGTTATTGCCCTGCTTGTTCGGCACGGCGCACAGTGGGCCAGAAGACCGGCGCAGGCGGTCAAAGTCCCGAACGCGTTTTGAGGTGCAGAGTCGCTAAATGGGACTCGAACCGAACGTGTGACCCCACCAATGGTTTGCTCTCCGAACGAGGAACCCATTGGTGGGGTCACAGTTCGGTTCGAGGCCTGTTCAGCGACTCTGGAGCTCAATACGCATCTAGAGTTTTGGCCGCTGCGCTGGTCTTCTGGCCCACTGTGCGGTGGCTCTACACGCATCGCACAGAGCCTGTCCGCACCCCGTTGGGATTTGCCCGATCGAAATAACTGTCGGCATGATAGCGTGAAGCGGGCTTATGTTTTTCGCGTGTGCCAGAAGCGAGGTTTCAATGACTCGCATTGTTCCTAGACTTGTTGTTTTTTTAGGGGTGCTGCGCTGTGTAAGCCGATCGCTGCGAACAATTCGCTCTAAACCCGGCACGAGTATCTGTCTGCCGTGTTGTAACGAGGGGTCCAGCCGAGTCCGACTGGAACACTCTATCCGGACGTCCGCGACGCAGATGGTGATTTGTTCCCTCTGTCGTGGTCCACTGGAAAAAGAAGTGGCGAGCTGCTGCAGCATCTCTAGAAACTGAAGAGAGTGCATGGCATGCTCCTCCTAGGAGTCAACCACAAAGCACACTCTTCCCAAGAGCATGCTTGCAAGCACACTCTTCCCAAGAGCATGCTTGCAAGCACACTCTTCCCAGGAGCATGCTTTCAAGCACTCTCCTTGCTTGCAAGCATGCTCCCAGGAAGAGCGTGCTTGTCAAGCATGCTCCTGGGAAGAGTGTGCTTGCCAAGCATGCTCCTGGGAAGAGTGTGCTTGCAAGCATGCTCTTGGCAAGAGTGTGCTTTGTGGTTGACTCCTAGGAGGAGCATGCCATGCACTCTCTTCAGTTTCTAGAGATGGCGCGGTGTGGAATCAAGAAGTACCTCGGAGTGGGCCAGAAGACCGGTGCACAGTAAAAAAATAATCGCCGATTCGGTGACGTCTGGGCGCCAAAACGAGAATATTACAAGAACAGCAACACCCTCAAACTGTTCTGGCGGCCCTCTGTTCGTTTCGGCGACGCTCGGTCTAGTTTCGGTGGCGCTCGGTCCGTTCCGGAGCGGCCACCTCACCAGAACGGCACTGCAGTCACCCTCCCGCCAGCGACTTTTAATCGTCGTATTAATGTGAAATAGGACACAAAACAAGTCAGGGGCTGTCAGTAATCATTCGCGTGACTCATCAAAGCGTAACGTTGCCGGCGGGCACGCACAAATACGCACAAACAGCTCAAAAACAGTTGTTGTGGTCATCCTAACCTCTCTGGCGGAACACCACCTGGTGACGCAGGTCACCGTTTTGGTGACAGACCGTCGCCGGGTTTGTGGGGGTACCCGTTTCGGTGAGATTGGATATAGAACGACCACCAAAACAGCGAATCTTTTTTTACTGTGTGGAGGCGGCCAAAACTCAAGACGCGTTTTGAGCTCCAGAGTCGCTAAATAGGACTAGAGCCGCAAGTGTGACCCCACCAATGGACTCCTCGTTCGAAGGGCAATCCATTGGTGGGGTCACACGTTCGGTTCGAGTCCCATTTAGCGACTCTGGAGCTCAAAACGCGTCCGGGGTTTTGACCGCCTGCGCCGGTCTTCCGCCCCACTGTGCGGCGGGGTCGCCGCCCTCTGCCCGGGCGTAGGGCTCGATCGAGAACCGTCAGAATGTCGACTGCGAAGCGACCAATGCAGTTTGGCTAGTTCTTCCCCTCTCTTCTGCGCCAGCTCAGTGGTGTCCCCGTCCTCAGACATTTCGCCCGGAGCGAGCGAGCCGGGGCTGCGCTGCGCTCCGCGCCTATTTCTTCAACAAACTAACATCGCCGCTGTGCTACGCCAGAACAAATGCGGCCCCGGGCTGGCTCCGCTGCACAGTGGGCCAGAAGACCGGTGGAGGCGGACAAAACTCTAGACCCGTTTTGAGCTCCAGAGTCGCTAAATGGGACTCGAACCGAACGTATGACCCCACCAATGGATTGCTCTCCGAACGAGGAATCCATTGGTGGGGTCACACGTTCGGTTCGAGACCCATTTAGCGACTCTGGAGCTGAAAACGCGTCTAGAGTTTTGGCCGCCTCCACTGGTCTTCTGGCCCACTGTGCGCTGGCTCCCCTACCCGGCGAGGGGATCAGGCCGGGGAGGGGGAGGGGGGTTAACTACTGCTTTCTGATGCTGTGGCGGAGCGGACGGTCGCTAGCGAGCTACGGGCATGAGATATGGGGCCACGGATCAGGCGGGCTCAGGTTCACTAGGCTGCCCGGAAATAGAGACAGAGATAAAGAAAGAGATAGAGAGATGGCGATAGAGTCTAGAGAGGCCCGCCTACGGACCGCCGCCGCTGGCCAGCGCAGCAGAAGCGTTGCGCGTCGTCGTGGCCATTTCAAGAGGAGTTCCTCGCAATACACAAAATGCGTCGGTGCTCTAGAAACTGAAGAGAGTGCATGGCATGCTCCTCCTAGGAGTCAACCACAAAGCACACTCTTGCCAAGAGCATGCTTGCAAGCACACTCTTCCCAGGAGCATGCTTGGCAAGCACACTCTTCCCAGGAGCATGCTTGACAAGCACGCTCTTCCTGGGAGCATGCTTGCAAGCAAGGAGAGTGCTTGAAAGCATGCTCCTGGGAAGAGTGTGCTTGCAAGCATGCTCTTGGGAAGAGTGTGCTTGCAAGCATGCTCTTGGGAAGAGTGTGCTTTGTGGTTGACTCCTAGGAGGAGCATGCCATGCACTCTCTTCAGTTTCTAGAGTGGGAACAGTGGCTCAGTTTAGTGACGAAAGATCTCCACCTGCATATAAAGGGAAAAGTGCGCTCTTGTCAACGGTCGTCGCGAACTTATGTATCTTCCTGTAACATTGGAGTTCTCCGGATCTCGGCGAGCATCGCTAGCGACAAGATCACACATTTGAGTGTGGGGGGCGGCTGCATTTGAGTGTTAATCTACCATTTTAATTAAGATGGATGGGGGGCGAAACTTAATGGTCTGAAAGGGACGCGGAGATTTCGTCGCCAGGAGTTGAGCCCTTCAGGCGGCCTGAGCGCTGTTGGAGACACGAGCCCTAAGGGCCCTAAGGCGCCGAGCCCACCATCTCCGTCGCACTGCAGCGACCACCCTTTTTATAACATATTTTATAGTCTTGGCCGCGGACCCAATAATGAGCAGTGCGTGACATTGTGTGCGTGTTTGAGTGTGTGTGTGTGTTCAGTGTATGTGTTGACTGACACGTAACCTCTGTTGCCACAGGATGAGCTGCTGCCTATAGTCTTGGGGATGCCCGGGCGAAGGCCTCCCCAGGGGGTGTCCTTGGGGGCGTCCCGGGCGGGCCGGGCGGGCCGGCGGGGCCCCCCTGGGGGCTGGCTGTGTGCCCTGGTGCTGGTTCTCCCGCTGGCGCAGGCCGCACTGCCCCCCGTCATCAGAATAGGTAAGTGAGTAGCTTAACCCGGGGCTGGCTTATCGCAAACAGCCAAGCCGGCCAACCTTTCCCAATCCCTTTCCTCCCGTTTGCCAGGGCTCTTTTTTCTGCATGTGAGATGTGTCTACACTGTGCACTCTGTCAAACAAGGGCCCTTTTTGGCGGCTCGTTTAAAGTGTTGGCAGTTCGCTGGCCGGATCGTTCAATGCGGTATTTTTTTAAAACAACTGGCGGACGGGTCTATCCGGCTTTTTTCTTTGGTCGTGCGTGTTTTTCGACATGCCAGTGTGCTGCTCATATCAGGCCGTGCCCAGGGCGTGCCCTACACTGTGAAATTGCTATTACCGCGGATGCACTCTCCTCGGCTTGTCCGATATTCAATTTATTACGGCGGAGAGGCTTGTATGCGGTCGCCTCGCGGGCCCCGCGGCCAAGCCCGCACAGTGGGCCAGAAGGCCGGTGGAGGCGGCCGGAACTCCAGACACGTTTTGAGCTCCAGCGTCGCTAAACAGGACTCGAAGCGAACGTGTGACCCCACCAATGGATTCCTCTTCGGAAGAGCAATCCATCACACGTTCGGTTCGAGTCCTGTTTGGCGACTCTGGAGCTCAAAACGCGTCCGGGGTTTCGGCCGCCTCCGCCGGTCTTCTGGCCCACTGTGCCCCGTCTAGTCGGAGGAGCATCGCGGGGGATGGTGCGGCCCGCGGCCCGCCAATGAACCCCCTCCAGCAGCACTGGGTAATTCGTGTATCGCCCCAAAGGTTTTCTTCGTTTTTTTTATGCATACTCTTGCGGTGAAGCAGTGTATCGGGGAGCAAACGTCAATAGAGAGAGAGGAGCAACATGTGCGCAGGCAGGCCAACGGCAGGCCAAAGGCAGGTTGGCCAATAAACCGGCCGTCCGTTTTCTTCGGGCGGGTAATGCTGGCACGCCACCTGTCGCGCTGCCTGCCTGCCTGCCTGCCTGGTCCAGGTCGTGCATAGCCTCGCCCGACTTTCATGGCTCGATAAATCTCCGCTCTACTTGAGCACCAACTTTTTTTTTCCTCCTCACTTTTCTCCAAATGCGTTAACGACAACGTATTGGACGCGCTAACTTATGGCCAAGTTCTGGTTGCCGCCGCCCGTCGTGGCCACTGTACAGGTTGGCGCGCGACGGGCACGTGTCGCGGGGCGGGGCGGGGCGTGGCGGGGCGGGGCGGGGCGGGGCGGGGCGGGGCGTTCCCTTCGTCCCTTTCAGTAGGCCAGCCGCGCGCGTCGCCACGCCCGCATTTTCGTACTGAATGTTGGTAACTTTCTGGACGAATTTCAACTTTCCCCCGCCCCCGCGCAGACTTGGCACGCCGCGCCGGTACCGGCGGGGTTGGCAAGGGTGGGGGGTGGGGGGGCCGATCAAACACATAAATTAACATACAACCCTCCCTGTTGATCGCACAGTAAAACTTGTGGCCTGTATAATGCAATAAAATACAAGTTGCGGGCGGCGGCGCGGGGGAGCGGCGGGGGGACGACGATAGAAGAGGACATTATTATAAAAGATTGTGTCAGAATCGAAAATAAATCACAGTGAATCACGTTTACAGGCGCAACTAAAAATTTCTCCGTCGCTTGCAGTGGCGTGGAGATGGTGGCGCGCTCCGAGGCTCACCGGATTGCTTTTATTGGGCTGACAGAGGCATGGTGGGGTCGCGGAACGAACCCAGCCCATTTCCCCGCCACTTTTTTCTCTCTCCATTCTGATGAGGACGTATTGCTGGACGAGCTTCTTTTTTCTCTCTCTCTCTTCTTTTCTTCGTACACTCAACGTTAAGCACACACCAAAGCCCTTGCAGCTGTAAGTTTGGCGGACAATGCCCCCTCGGCCGTGTCAACCCCACACAAGTGTAGTGCCCCGTCAAAGGCGCAGGGCGCGGAGAGGGCAGGGACGGCGACAAGGGTCAGGACAGCAGGACGCGCGGAAAAATGGCGGGAAATTAAGGAAAGATCTGAAAGTGGCTGAACAGCAGTTGAAAGTAAGGGCGTTGAAGGCGGATAGAGGGCAGGGAGGGGAGGACAAGGGCAGGCAAGGGCCACACAACATTGGCAAAAAGTGTCGAGGGCTAACTGCCGGAGACACTGGCACACTGGCGCTCGCCGGCGCCCCATCACGGCCCTTAACTTGGTGGGCAGCGAGGGACAGCTTCGGTGGCCCACGGCCGGCCCGGCCCGGCCCAGCCAAGGTGGGCAGGGAGGCGGGGCGAGGGGGTGGGGGTGGGGGTGGGGGTGGGGGCGGCTTGCGGTGTCCTGCAAGTTGTCCGAGCCGACCGCCCCGTCCAGAGGCCCCGTCCAGAGGCCCGTCCAGAGGTCACGCCAGGATGTGGTCACGCACGAGTCGGACAGTCGGACGCAAGCCTCATCCACAACTAAGCGGCCAAGTGCGCCAAGCGGAAGGGTCGGGCGTGCAGCGGACGGACCGCGCGGCCAGTCCCCCCGGCACAGTGGGCCAGAAGACCGGTGGAGGCGGACGAAACTCTAGACGCGTTTTGAGCTCCAGAGTCGCTAAACGGGACTCGAACCGAACATGTGACCCCACCAATGGATTCCTCGTTCGAAGAGCAATCAATTGATGGGGTCACACGTTCGTCTCGAGTCCCGTTTAGCGACTCTGGAGCTCAAAACGCGTCTAGAATTTTGGCCGCCTGCGCCGGCCTTCTGGCCCACTGTCCCGGGAGGGCCTGACTGGGGTAAGGGAGCCCAAGAGAGTCCCGCCGGACCGCCAGGGCCGCGGCTCGCCGGTGAAAAACGATGCCGAAATGGCGAAGTAACGATGACTTGGTGAAGCCTGTATCCACTCCGCGCCCGGTCGGCGGGAAACTTCGCATAGTTTGGAGCGCCGCTTCGCCGCGCCGTCACGTCACGTGCGCGGGATTAAGCTGGCACACTGGGAATATCGCCGAAAATGACCCAACTTCCTGCAAGTATTTCCCGGTCCGACGCAGTGGTCCCTGCCACCCCACCGTCACACAGTGGGCCAAAAGACCGGCGGAGGCGGCAGAAACCCCAGACGCGATTTGAGCTCCAGAGTCGCTAAATGGGACTCGAACCGGACGTGTGACCCCACCAATGGATTCCTCGTTCGGAGAGCAATCCATTGGTGGGATCACACGTTCGGTTCGAGTCCCATTTAGCGACTCTGGAGCTCAAAACGCCGCGCTTTCCCTTCGCCACTACCCCGGCCGTCCAGCCGCCTGCCTCTCAGCATCACCTGGCCGCGCTACCCCACAGTACAACGCTTACTACCCCCATCCCTCACGGCTCGAGCGGGCCACGCGGGGCAGGGACGGGGTTTCGACTCGGGATTGAAAATGAGCGCTGCCGCCTCCAACTTGCAATTGCGTTAGCGGGCAATCATTGTCTTCATTTCCATTTTTCGGTCGGTCGGGTCGCCGGGCGGTGGGGCGGCCGGGCCGTGGCGAGCCGCGTCGTTGTGACACCCCTCACGCGCCGCGACACTGTGGACGGACCGACGGTGTCAAAGCCTCGCAGTGTGGCAGCACGGACGGACGAGGGGGACCGAAATCGCGCTGCGGCTTGATCCTTGCTCCTGATGGCTAGAGCGGTCGCGGGGCGGGGCGGGGCGGGGCGGGGCGGGGCGGGGCGGGGCGGGCGGGGCGGGGCGGTGTTGGCACTAGCCTGGACGGGGAAGCCCCTGCCGCCCTGGGAGTCGTTCGCACAGGGGTGAGGTAGGGCAAGCCGGGGGTTGAAGGTGCGGAGTGCGGCTGGCTGGCAACGCTGGCATCCAACCCGTGCCTCCCTGCATTCCCTGTCTCTCTCGCACCCCAGGGGAACCCTCCGGCAGCAGTGCGAGAGGGAGGGAGAGAGACGAAACTCGCGCGGAATGAGCCTTGCTGCGGTGTCGTGAGCCACGTCACCCTCACGCACAACTCAGTCCCGGCCAAACATCATCTTTTTCTTCCTCACCCCAGGCAGGCAGGCAGGCAGGCAGGCAGGCCTTAATGGCGGCGCATCATCAGGCAGGCGTCGCCGCGCGCACTTAGGCCCCAGAAAGGAAGAAAAAGGCGCTCCGCCAGACGCCTCGTTCGCTTTCGACGCGCCGCGCGCAGCGTGAGCAGCACGCACGTGTGTCTGGCTGGGTGCGCGTCTCTCTCTCTCTCTCTCTCTCTCTCTCTCTCTCTCTCTCTCTCTCTCTCTCTCTCTCTCGCTGCAAAAGGCACGCGGAATCTCGTGCCGTTTTTCCGCACTAAAACTAGGGGTACGCGCCGTTTAGTGTGGGCGCGTAGTGTGGCTGAGCGATGCGAGTTTGTGCACTTCGGACTTTGCTTAAGTAGACGAAATGCGCAGTTTGTGGGCTCATATTGAGTGGAATGTAGGTCTGAGGTATAACTGGAAGTGATTTTCGTTATCAGCACACAAAAAAATGTTGGGATCAACGTCAAACTCGATTCCGAAATTTTGGTCCAAAATTGATCAAAATTCGGTAATGCGTGAGTCTGGGAAAAATTTGGAGGTGATTTTTGAGTTCAGCACACCAAAAACTGCAGGAAACAATATAAAACTCGATTTGAAAATTTTGGTCCAAAACGACCTAATTTGGGATGAAAATACAAGTCTGGAGTCGAAATGGGGGTGATTTTCGTTATCAGAACACAAAAAACTGTTGGAATCAACATCAAACTCAATTCAAAAATTTTGGTCCAAATTTGGTCAAAATTAGGTAAAGCGTGAGTCTGGGAAAACTTTGGAGGCCATTTTTGAGTTTAGCACACCAAAAACTGCAGGAATCAATATAAATCTCGATTTGAAAATTTTGGCCCAAAATGACCTAATTTGGGGTGAAAATACAAGTCTGGAGTAGAAATGGAAGTGGTTTTCATGATCAGCATCCCCAAAAACTGCAAGAATCAATAATAGATTAAATTGAAACGTATTGATATAAAACTGGTTAATTATGGGTAATGTACGGGTCTGGGTTGGTCTTCATGGATCACCCTTTGTCGTCACCAATTCCCT